GCGTTTTAGTGTGTGTGAAATTAAATGCGTGGGCAAAAACTTATGTAAGTTTGGAATTTTTTGGATAGATTGAGATGGTTAAATGCTAATGCTTTTTGTACAATGATAGATTGATAAGTAAGTCTATTGTTTCTTTTTTCTCACACCGGTCCGCCTCCTATTTCATGTGGCCCTTGCATCAATAAATACACATGCAAACATCTTTGGATGAAAAAATGCGGGGATGTTTTTGTTTTTGTTTTTTTTTTCTTTTTTTTAGATTTTTTTTTTTTTTTATATATAATTAGCTAATCAATCTGTTTTCATGTAAATATTTATTTACAAAAAAAAAATTGTGGGGACGTGGACGTATCAGGCATTGAGAAGATGATCACAATAAATATTGAGAAAATTTTTTTTGTGGAGATAAGGAAAAACCTTCGGGAGTTTACTAGAAAGTCAATGGATTTAATGAAAATTTATCCGATTAATTAAATGGTTTAAAAGGCTTAAATGGCATTACAATCTACATAATCAAAGTATTGTAGTATTTGTTGATTATTTTTTTTTTAAAAAAGCATCTCATCTTTTTTAAAAAATGGATACGTATCGATACGTAAACGCTATGCCAATTGCCACGTGATATTGGAATTAATTTCACCTTTTCTATCAATACCTCTATTAATCCTTAAACATCTATTCAAGTATGTACGTACTCATATCATTGAAAGTATCACATGATAACACAAGTTTATTTGAGCCGGTTTGCCAGTTAAAGCCATTTAAAAATATACAAATATGTCCTAGTGCTTTATGTACGTACATACGTATGTAATATTAGAGATCTATTAGATCTATTGAAATTGGCCATTCGAAAAGTGTCATTATTGATTCACATACCAAAAATTTAATTAATTGGGATAAAAAAAGGTTAAATGTATCTTATTCATATGAAAATCTCAATTAGAATTTTAATTAGAATTTTTAATTAGAATCTGTAGTTTAATATGTTTAAAACCGATTAAAACCGGTTTTTAGCATAAGGAATTCTCGTTATTGATGCAAACAATTTTAAAACATCAAGAAGACAAATTAAACAATGGACGTCAAGCGCAGTAAATAGACATTATTTCATAAGTCTACGTACCTGTAAGATCTTAATAACTTACGGTAGTTTCACAACATTCTATCTTTGACATTGGCGATTGATGGATTTAAAAAAAAAGACTACTTTATTAAAAGATTTTCTAGATTTAGTAAAATTACTATTCCTAAAATAAAAGAACGATTATAGTAATTATCGACCTGTGGCTTGTTACAAAAGTAACATTTTGAATAATTCTCGATAATTCTCGGCTTGTATAACTCCGTAAAAGGTTTCACATACTCTTAAACAATAACAATTACGTGTTAAAAAAAAAATCACAGCATAAAAATCACGGCATAAAAATCATAACATAAATAAAATCCGATGATTTTAAGGTACGTATATGTGACAAATACGTATTTGGATTTTACAATAAATTATTGGTAGATAATAATAATAGGAAAAGTTACTTGAATACGTAATACAGTAATAAGTTATAAGCATTTTAATGCAGTAATGATGAATGTAACGTTAACTGTTAACACATATTTTATTGCAAAAGAAATTAAGACAGGCATGTTTCGAAGGATAAAAGAAATTTTAACATAATCCTGTAATTGACTATAAAAAGTCGTATAGATTATAAACAGTAGATAGATCGTATGTTAGATCGCATCAAGTACGGATCGTACGGATCATATGGATCATATGGATTATACGTGTGTAGTTCTGTAGTTAGTTAATCATTCATTTACGATAATAGCCAACAATTCATTGACATGCAGAAATGGAATCGTGCTAATAAAAAAAAAACGATTGTCTATAGATTATATTGTCCATGACATTTAGGAGTAATATGTGTATCCTGAAACAAGGGATACATAAGTTACGTATGTTACGTATATGATGTGCATTTAACAGTTTAACGTTAATAGTGATAGATGATAGGTGAGGATCAGTTAAGACAGATGAACATGTGAAGACAGGTGTGATATTTAGAGATATTTAGTAGTTATATTTAGATTTTTCAGTTAATTTAATAATAATGATGTAATAATGTTATTGTGTGTTGTATGAAAAAAAAATTTTTTTTCTCGACATCTGATTCACTTGATTGTACTTTTGGTTACGCACTGCTAACGTGAAATCAAAAACAAATAAATATTAAGCCATTGCCAGGTGAAGAATTACTAAAAATGGTATTGGAAAAAAAATTTGTACATTGCTACGTATACGTATTGGAATAATATTTTCTAAATAAAACAAATATTACTAAAACGATACTATTTGTTAAGTCTTGGTAATCTTGGAATTCTCAAGAGGAAAAAAAAAAAAAAAAAAAACGAACGTGCCACTATCCACGCCAAATCACAATAATAAGTAACAATAACATTACATAAAAGTTTTTCAATCAATTTAACTTTACATTACAGTATCATACCACTATCATACTTATCAATCATACTTATGCCACGTTATAATTTTTTATAGTTTTAGAAGCAAATACATAGTACATTCATAGTACATTCATAGTACATTCATAGTACATTCATAGTACATTCATAGTACAGTAATAATAATCACGTATAATGATAATAATAATAATTAAGGTACGTATTATGTATGCTTAGCCTCCTGAATTCCCTTAATATTCTCATGAACAAATATTTATAGATAAAAAAAATTTTTTTCATTAAACGAATTAAACGAACTAAATATTATGTTATTAAAAATCTTATTAAAATTATTATTATTATTTTACCGTAATTAAAATTATTTTATTAACATTAACGTTTTAAACGTTTAAACGTTAAACAACGTTAAAAATGTTAACGTTAAAAAATTTAATTTAAAAATTTCGAAATACGTAAAATTTCGTAATTGTTCAATTTGTAATGATGAACACGTTGTTGGCAAACATGCCACGTTATTGAAACATGCCAACATGTATGTATATAGCTTAAGCCACATTTTGGCTAAAAAATTTTATTAAATCGGATATATCGGATATAGATATATAATTTACAAATAATTTATACTAAAAGTAGAATTTTTTAAGTGTTTTACAATCAAGTAAAGAAGACAAAAGGTCAAAATTTGGAAATAAGTTATGGTAATCAAATTCACCAACGAAAAAAAAAAAAGGTGATGAATGAAAATGAAAACAATGGAATTGATAAATTCCCTTTGTTTTCTTTTGAAATGATTGGCTAGAAATATTTTTTTCGGTGAACTGGTTCACAAAAAAAACGTAATAAGATAATTGTGTAAGATAAAAGGCATAATTATGCAAGAAATCATGGTAATTAACTCCGCAAATTTTATTTCGGTCTAGACATCCTTAGAATTGTAGTGTAATACCTAGACTTTTGTTACGTTCATAGACTTGGGTAAAAATCGATCCTGAGTCAAACCTGCGTAAAACGCCAAATAATATAGAAGTATCAATGAAAAATGTTACACTTCATATATGTTTCTAATAATATTTACGTATTTTATAGGTTAACGTATCAAATATTATTACACATATTATTTCAAAGCAAAAAAATATTTAACCAATACACTTTATGAAAAGTTTATAATGATTGGTAGTGACACCTTCTATTCTGAGAAATTTTCTTTGTTAAATGATGAAAGAGTATTTTTTTTTTTTTTTTTTGTTACTTTTCCTTTGTCGTAACCTTGCATCACACCCTATCCTTATATTAATAACTCGGGCACTTTATCTCATTTTGTTTAAATGTTTATATTTGGATTTATAGTTTCATTTAGAGTGTATATATGTTAATTGATATGATTTATATTACTATATATATATAAATGAAATAGATAAATATTATTAAATTTGAATAATTATGTAATTATATTTATCCATATCTAATATCTAAATCAAATATACTATATATTACACTGTATTATATATACTATAATTATATATATACTATAACTATAACTATAATTATATATTATATTATTACTGTATATATTATTATAAATTATATATGCACGTTTTTTTTTATACAGTTATTTGAGTTTATTTAACGCATTCATTATATATTATACCTATTACACAGCCCCTTTTTTTTTAAAACGTATATAAACACCCGTTCCTCTAGTATCTTTTTTCAGTTTTCGAGAAATCTTTTTCTTTTTTAAGAAAATATCAAATATCGAAAGAAATTTTTTTTTTACCTTTACATCTCTTTTAGAGTATAAATCTCGTATAATAATAATAACTTTTTTTAGCTTGTAATATCAACACAGCTTTTCATATAATTCTTTATACAATCAATCAATCAATCAATTAATTCTTTACAACCGTTTTAAAAGGAAAAAATGATTCCAATTACGAAACCATCGCTTATCGACGTTCTTAATAATGAAACGCAATATCCATATTCTCTTGATGATTTTGCTACATTTCTAGATCAGACTTATTGTCTTGAAAACCTAGAATTTTGGTTAGCAGTTCGTCAATACAAATATTATTCATATAATTATTTCAATAATTCTACTTCACCTGATCTTTTAACACCAAATTCTTCATCACTATCACTTCCATCAGATATTTATTATGATGATACTACTTTACGTGGTGATTCACCTGCTCATACAGAATTTCTTAAACAAAAACTTCATGATATTCTTAATACTTTTGTTTTACCAAATTCACAAAAAGAAATTAATATTGAATCTTCAGTTCGTGAAGATTTATTAACAAATGTATATTCATATGGCAATTATGATCCTTCGATATTGGATGTTGTTAGTAATCAAATTTTTGAATTAATGCAAGGATCTAGTTTTGCTCAATTCTTGGTTGAAGCTGGAAACATTGAATTGAAATGTTACCTTTCAAGTGAAAGTGAAAGTTGCCAAGAGGATTATTCGGAACCATCAAGTCCAGGTGACCAACTCTTTAATAAAGGTGTCTTCCGAATAAAAAATAATCGAGGAAAACAAAATAAATTTGGTGGATTGAAGTTGAAAGAGAAATACAGAAAATTAATTAATTCAAAATCTTCTTCATCCTAGTTTTATTTTTAAACTGGGTTTGAAATTTATTATTTAGTTTTTAGCATACAAAAAAAAAAAGAAAAAAAAGACAAAAAAAAAAAGCATACATTCTTCATTGTAATATAAACTGCAATTTTTTTTTTTTTTGTACAGAAAATATAGACGTGAGGTTTTTTTTTTCCTAATATTACACAAAGCCTTTATTATCCTTTTTATAATCATTTATATTCGTATTCGATACGTATCGAATATCCTATAACTACCTTTTTTTCACTAAATAACGAATTAACAAAAAACAAGATACCATAAGCATTTTTTTTAAAAAAAATTTTTGTAAGCAATTTAATTAAGCAATATAGAACAGGTTTCATCCCTCCTCTTTCTAAATTTCTACATTATATAGACGTTTTTTTTTTCTCTCTTTCGAAAAGATGACCATTTCCTACAACTTTTTTAAAAAATAATGTAATTAACGGTCGAAAAAAAAAAAATTTAACATAGAATTTATAATAGTTATGAGCAAAACAAAAACAAAAATTACATTCTTTTCTCAAAATCAAAAAAAAAAATTGAAATAAAATTTTTTGATAAAATTTTATTGAACTTGAAAAAGTCTTAAACGTTTTACAAGTGTCTTGGAAAGTGTCTTGGAATGTGTCTTGAAAAGTGTCTTGATAAGTATCTTAAAAGTGTCTTGATAAGTGTCTTAAAAGTATCTTAAAAGTATCTTAAAAGTGTCTTAAAAGTGTCTTAAAAGTATTTTGAAACATAACTTTCTTTTTTCTCTTTAACGAATGTGAAACGAACCTTTATTGAAACGAAGTACGTATTTAGCACGTACAGTACAGTACGTACGAGCTTTCCCAAGATTGTGTAACTTGGTTCATTCATTCATTGCACATTAGGTTGGTACGTATGTACGTACGTCCATATCGATATCTGTCTAATATGTCTAATACTGTAATATGTCTAATACATATTAGTATTGCACGTAAAATTTTTATTGACCTGCATTATAATTTATGTTCACATGATTCATTTAACTACCTATCGTTATGCATCGTTATACCAGTTTAACAGTTAACAATTAGCATTACTAACGATAATTAATAATTAATACGTAATGATATATATAATTAATAATGATAATTAATAATAATAATTACTTGACGCTAACGATAACGATAATATGTACTTCCCCACATTCTACGTAGTCATAAGAGTCCTAAGGGATATTTTTTACAAATAAATAATATCGTAAATGTAACGTCATATTAACAACAATTAACTGTTAACAATATTAAAATAAATATTAGTTTTTCTCGTTTCAGGTTAAATTATTTCCTCGTGGCTTAGCACGTGTAATAACCGAAAGCCGCGTTTTACAAGTTCCAGGGGCAAAAAGGGGAAATACGTAATAAAATGAACAATTGTGAGAAAAAATTTTCAACTTCTCTATGTTAGGATTGGTTCCCTTGAGTAACAAATAAATAATTTTTTTTTTTTTGAAATCTATATTTGTTCAAAAATATAAAATGTTGATAATTTGGGGGCTGAAATCACTGTTTACAATGTTATATCGAAACAATACCAAGTGTTTTTCGTAAGAATTGTAGTTAAAACACCAATTATATTTTCTCATTTGAAAAATTGTCTTTCGGATCGGAATAAAAATTATATACGTATATATCGATTTATAATTTATAATATATACTGTATACGTATACGCTATACATCTACATCTATATATATATCTACGTATATCTACGTATATTATCTATATCACAGATCAGATATCTATCTATATCTACGTATGTACGTACGTACATATATACGTATATATATGTATATACATACCAATATGTATTGTTACATATCTAACATATGTATATATACACACACATTGTTAAATAACCCAAAAAGTTTCTCGAGCGTACGTACGTAGAAAAAAAATTTAATTAGATAACTTAATTTATTAAAAAGAACTAAATAAAGAAATTTGAAAAAAAAATATAAAGTTTAAATTACCTAAAAATACGTATCATTTAAAGATTCAAATATTTAATGTATGACAAGATTACAATTATATATTCGGATCTTTGTTCCTTCTTTATTTATAAACGAGGGTACATACCGATACATATTGTTCACGAAAAAACGAATACATTATTACCAGTACTGTACTGTACTTACGTACAGTACAGTACCTACGAACATACCCGATACATTTATTTTTGACACCGGTGACTTACGTTAATAGATACCGTTACAATAAATTATCGGGAATGATCTATTTTTTTTATTGTAAAATGAAAATTTATAACTTACATCGTATAAAAAAAAGTTTATATTTCACCGAATTAAAGTTAACCGAATTAAAGTTAACCGAATTAAAGTTAACCGAATTAAAGTTAATTAATTACACTTTTCAGAATTAATAGAAATTTTCCTTGGAAAATTTGCTTATATAAAAGATTTACTTATAAAAATCTTAAAAAAGATATTGAAATAAAAAATCAAAACTATATATGAGCACAAGTCTTCATTTTTTTATTAATAAAAAAAGAATCATTCTGGTAATTGATTGTAGGGATGTACCGAATAACTACGATTTGCTCTAATAATGCTGACGATGATAATTTTGACGTACGTACGTACGTACGTACATACCAGATACGTACCGATATGTAATTATGTAACAAGTAACTATCTACGTTAACTATCACGTCCGTGCGTGTATATGTAAACGATTATCGCGCAGAATAAGCGCAGAACATCGATCGAGAATTATAAAAAGTTCATATAAACTTCTATCTCTAGTTTCCATTTCATGAAGATCACACAATGATATAAATGCTCTATGAAAAAACCCATGACCCTTGAATGAAACTTTTAATGAATTTACCAAGAAAAGTATAATCATATCACCAATGCGTTAATGTACTATGTACTAATGTGGCGAAGTTTTTTTTTTTAATGTTCATTGTTAACGTTTTATTTCTTGTTAAATGACAAAGAAATTTATCATAATGACATTTTTTGATATACTGATGATATGCATACCCTATGTGTATCAGGGTATACTATATGATCCACAACAGCTTTTTGTTTTGCTCTCTTTCCTGCAATGGCAGTTCGTTGAACAAGTTATCTCATAAGATATATCGCATAAGATATATCGCATAAGATATATAGCATAAGATATATCGCATAGGATATCGCACAAGATATATCGCATAGGATATCGCACAAGATATATCGCATAGGATATCGCATAAGATATATAGAATTTCGCATCGAAAAAAAACAATAAGGCAGGCAATTAACAAATTTATAAATTTAGAATTCTCGGGATAAAAATTTTTTCTTATCCAAAAATTCTTTTTATAGAATATTATAATATGTCAGATATGCAATTCAATACGTACGCATTTCGTGCTTTAACGTTAGCGTTAGTGTTGTAATACCTTGCTTAAGGATATACAGGATATACAGGATATACATGTGATAACGTCGGAGCTTTCACATTATTATTATTTTTAAATCGAGTTCAAAAAATAACCCAAAGATCACCGCAGTGAATATCAATGTATTACAGTATTAGTAATTACAATAACAGAATAAGGGCACGTGATACGTCAAAGGCTGAATTTCCGATACTGTAAATTAAGTTTAGCGTTAGTGTTTTATTTTTACCGGATAAAGAAAAGTGGTTTTTTTATTCACTTAACTTTCGTTATTTAGTAAATTTATGTTAATAATGTTACGCGACGCAAGGGTCTACCTTGCCTGTTTACATGCTAACTTTAGCTTTAGGATCCCTTATCAATTTTACAACGCATTTACTATATGCAATAAATAATCCCTTTCATTAGTGTTATTCGTATCATATGTATTATTCACTTAAACTTTTCAATGAACTTACATTTTTCTTAGCCGTAAAAATTCTTCTAATACGTCGCATAGACGTGAACTGATACTTACATACATATAGTGCATTAATAAAAATTTTGTTTCAATGAATACCTTTTAAGAATTATTGAATGCGCATTTAGTTGTAATACTATCGCGTGAACTTTTTTTTTTTTTTAATTTAGGGAGTGCATCAATTATAATTATAAGTTAACTGTTTAGCCATATAGCATTAGAGCATGAGATATTATGTACTGTACGTAACGTATAATATTTTTTTACACATGAATGAAAATAATTTTGAAACCCGTACATTTTTTTTTTTTTTTTCACATTAATAACATTAATAACATTAATAACATTAATACTTAATTGTTAAGTAATGTATGTCTCATTCAATCTGGAATTACCTGGATTTTATTTTTATTGAAAAAAAAATTTTTTAATTATACAAATTCACTGTAAAAAAATTTTTTTTTTTTGGCGATCTATTTTAACGGATTACCATTTATATAAAGTGCATAATAAAGATTTTTGGTTTACATGGTTGATCAATTCTAGCCCATGTCAAAATTTTTAAGACTTTATAAAATTAATAACAATTGGTAATTAGTTTTTTTAACCATTTTACATGACAAAATCCTAGATTGGGCCAGAACATTTTACTTAAGTACGTAAAACTCTTTTCCTAATTTTATATAAAGTATCTGTCAAATATGGAACTTTTTAATTAATATTCCGATTGGTTTTTATGTTGATCTTTTTCGAAAGATTGGTTTATGTTGATCTTTCTAGAAAAGAGAATTTCTATCTAATTTACGTTACCTCTAAGTGTGGTTTTTGGTGTTGTTTCTTGTCGATTATGCTGTTATGATAAATGACAAGTTGATCCCTATATAACTTGATTTTATGTCATTGCCTAGACCCCTAAACCTAGACTCAATCCTCATAATACTTGCATGATCTCGTTGAGAAAAGAAAAATCTATAATTTTTTTGTTAATTATCTACTGCTATTACGTTATTAATGTATTAAAGTTTTACTTTTTTTGGAAATTGATATTAAATAAAAATTTTTTCTATAACAATAATAATAACGATTAATTT